AGATCGGGGAACATCACGAATAATCCAGTATTTGCTAGGCGCCCTCTATTCTTGAATATAAGTGCACCAGTCAATTAATCGGAATCAAAATTGTATAGCAGACAGAGAGATTGAAAATACAGACGGACAACTGAGTCAAGCGCAGTAAACGTTTTGAATTATAGCGTGTGTTTAAGTTAAAGTGACTGTGGAAATTAAGTGTATTGCAAAGTTGAATTGAGAAAGAAAAACTAGTTTTATTTAAGAAAGGATTTGTATCTCTGAAGTTTCTCAGAAAGAATTTCTACAGAAAATTAACAAACGACCAGAGACGTAACAATATGATAAACATTAGCAACAATAAAGCTTTCTTATCTATTCAGTTGTATTTGCTTTTTGTTTTCATTCCTTCTCATTCAGTTTTTATTCAAGTATTTCCTGAATCTGATGCGTATTGTTGATTACTTTTTGCTTACCTCTCAGAAATTATTGTTACCTGAATACTAGACATGAAGGAAGATTCATCAGTAGAAGTATGAAAATTTACTAATAAATGGTTGCATACTACACATTTATAGTAGATATCAGAAAATGAAGAAAAAACTAAAGCTGAATTATAAAATTAAGTTATACACAGGTCTGTACCTACAAATGGATATGTTTCATGTGCATCAATAAAGAAAGTTATGTGCTATAAGAAAAAAGAATAAAGTTGAAAGTGGATATATACCTTAACATTAAGCTAGTTATTATAGCATTTTAACTGAAACTATACACAAGCTCTATAAAAACTTTATTACTGAAAAAATAAACTCCACTATAGTAAATACCATTGTTATACAGCTAACCAAGTACAAACAAGTAAGATACACTTGGATCAGTACATACACACTGTGTAATATCTAAATTTGTGCCATTTTTTAAAACAAGAATTTACATTTATTATATTACTCAACAATGTGGAAAAAATCTTTTAACAGAAGCTAATTGATGCACAAAATGCCAGTACAGGGAAATATACAATGAAATTTTGACATCTATGGTTACCTGATACTCTTTCTGTGATATTTCAATTCATTTTCTATTGCAGAACTTTTGACACTTTTTTTTTACCCTGCTCATATGGTTACTGTATATTCAAAAAAGAAAAATATTAAACTCAGCTACAACACATATGTGACTCAACCTCATGAACAATGCATACAAATCCCTTGTATCTATCAATTTTTCACAACAGAAACTGTGAAATAATTTAAATCACACTACCTGTAATGACTGAGCATAGTTTGGGCTAGTCTTTCATTTATTAACTAGTTGTGTATGACACTTTTACTAAGAACCAATTTAATTATGTGATAAAAATTTGCTCATAAAGTACTGTAAATATTACTATTTTTTGTTCCATTCTCAAATGGATTGTAGTTTTATAAACTTGTACAAATGATCCCAAGCGAAAATAATATATTAACAATATAACAAATCTTCAAGTACGTTTGTGAAATATCAACAGCTAGTCAAACAGCAGAGCGTGCAAGAGAGCTCCAGCATCTGAGTTCATGTTTTTGTAGGTGTTCCTTCCGTTTGAATGTCTTTGCACACATAGCACAAATGTAAGATACATTTCTGTGCATGAAGTAGTAGTGGTTTCTTAAATGACTGGTTGTTTTAAACACCTTCAAACACAAAGGGCATTGGAAACACTCTCCTTCGCTGGTAGCTATGGCCATTGTCTTCCACTTTATTCTCCCTGTGATAAAAAATGTCTGAACTTAATGTTTCAACATTCTAAGGATGTGTTAATGCTTTAAACACAGAGGTTCAAATTATGAACTAAACATTTTTTATAAGTACTGTACATATATATTTCTTCTACACTATAGCCTCTTTTAAAATGTTACTTTTAAGACCATAAAGCTTGTGCATATACAACAAAATGAGCTGTGAAATAGGTGGCATAAGTATCATCATATCTGAACAACTGATAATTTCTCAGTAATAATTTTCAACCAAACATTTAAATAGAAAAGTGCTGTGAAATTGGATTTAAGCTGTTCAGAAAATTTAACTTTTGTTGTAAATGGATCCTTTATGCAGCAGTTCCTGCAAACAAGATGAAATCAATTAAAAACACAACGCATACGTACAAGTTTTGTAGCAAAATAAACATTTCTGTTCTTCGAAAACATATTCAATTGTTTATAAATAAATATAAAATATATACAAAAAAATCAGTTAAGCTTTCTTTTAGGTAAAAGTTTCTGGATTGTCTGGTAAATGAAGTTTTTATTTATATAAATACATTATATATGTTGGTTGATACATCCAATATGACTGAATTGGAGGTAAATCATAAATTCTAAAATTAACTAGTTGAATTATAACAATGTAGTCGGGAAAATTTTAGAACCGACTTGTAACTACAACATGCATATCATACAGCTTGTTATGCTTATGTCTAAAAGATTTTACCTTTAGGTAATTTTTGCACCTGTGAAGCTTTTGAAAATTTTTAGAAATTCTAGTTACTATTTTTTGACTTGATATTCTCCCTACTTATCTAAATAACATCTAAGTCACAATTTTTACACAGAAGTACACAAATGTACCACCTTTGGAAGATTTACACCAATCCAGTTGTTAAATATATAGAAAGTATGTTAGTTTCTTCTTAATCTGTGGCGTCTCTTGGTCAAGAATTTTAATTTTTCAAATGACCTAAAAATAATGCATACTTAGTATATAAACTGACATTTATTTATCATGTTTTCCATAGCTCATAAACGATTTTAAGTTGTACAAAATATGAATTTATAAACTTATACTTCTCATAATTTAGAATGTTTCATTTGTTTAATTACTTTAGAATATATATATATATATATGTGTGTGTCCATCATAATATTAATACTTAGGCTACACAATATTAAATTTACAAAAAGTAGACCACAAATTATAATGTGAAATTTTAGTGAACCAAATTTATTACTTTTAATATAATATAAATGTGCCTAATTTTGTATGAACAACAAATAATAGATCTAGGTAATGAATTTATTAATGATGCACCCATTTACTTATGGGAGTGTTATAATATGATGCTAAAGAGAAGCTCAAGAGTTGTCAGTGGGTAGTGTTGACAAGCTCTTTCAAAATTAGGGATGGCTAGTGTAGACATCTCTTCTGTAGCGTTTGGACAAAATCATATGTTATGCACACCTTGTTTTCATGCTGGCACACACTAGATTAATATATGATTGTTATATGATATATGACTGTTCCAAATGTCTTCTATTGCTCCTCACAATTCAACAAAGTTATCTGCATGACCCTTTTCAATTTTTACATAAGCCTACACAAGCTCAAGAATGTTCGAATTGAGACTTTCTGCAGGCTAAGTCATTGTTGCAAGTATTCCATCAGCCTATTTACTGTTAAGATTTTGTTTTAAATCTGCTGCATACTTGAAATTATTGTCTTGTTGGAAGATGAATCCCCATCCAACAGTCACATTCCTGAGGGAATGTCAGGACAAATCAAAATGCATTTGTACTTAGCCAATACCGACCATTGTTTATCTAACCATTAGCCAATATGAAACATTGTTTAACTAAGCATTAGCCAATACGAAACATTGTTTATATGACAATTAGCCAATACCAAACATTGTTTGTCTAGCTATTAGCCAATACCAAACATTGTTCATTTAACCATTAGTTAATACGAAACTTTGTTTATCTAACCATTAGCCAATCCCAAACATTGTTTGTCTAGCCATTAGCCAATACCACTGACCTAAACTTGTAATGATTCCTTATTACACTTCACTATGTGTATTTTGGACAGTAAAAAAACAACAACAGAAAAACTGTTGCTGAACAATTCAAACTTGTATTCATTTATAAAGGGCACAATGTCTCCACCACTGCTCATTTCACTGTTTGTGGTTCATTCCCTATTTCAACCTTTTGGTTTACTTAGCTCTTCTCATCAGTAAATGTTTATTAATAACAGTGTCTGTTCACTCATCTTCTTCATATATTGCATACAGATCTTACTGCAAGTTTTCACATGAAGTATCCTCAACAAGCCAAAACTATTATTTCTACATGCTTTTTGTGCACTGTGAAGTCATGACTTTATCACACTATGACTGCATGTACTTTTATAAACTGTATTCTGGTGTGGCACTTTTTATTGGCTAGATAACAATCAATTGTAGTTTAAACAATCATCAACACATGACTGTGTAGTCCATTTTCACAAAAACAGATAGCATTCTGTGTAATATTTACTTTTGTTCTATAGTTTCCATAACTACTTCCAATATTCTATATATGGCTAAATAGTACAAAATTTGTAAGTAATTTGAAATATAGCACATCCTAATGGGCAATAGTTTTTTTTTACAAGAACTTTCAATTTAGAAAAGCTAATAGTGCATTTTATAAAGGATGTGCAAAGAATTACACTATTTATTTAACACAGTTATTATAACCAAAACATTACTTGGTGGTATCTATTACAAATCAGGATCCAAAATTTCTAATTACTCTTTATCAGGTTTAACCGATCCATTCCAAGAACTGTATATATATATATGTTAATTCCATATGCTGCTATGTAATGTGTGTAATATTAAACAAAACTCTAATTTAAATTAACAGTTTTTTATTATATAACTCTTGAAATGTTTGTAATCCTTAAATTAATCCAGATAAAAAAATAACGAGATTACTATTTTAATTCTGTCCAAAAGGTATTTTCAATTGAAATGTTAATATTTGTCACACTTCGTTTGGATTGTTCTTGTCATTCACTTGTTCCAGGAACCCCCTTTTCATTTCAGACATCATAGGAATTTTTCATAATGTCCAAAAAATAGACGAGGGATCCCAGAAATCTAGAGGTTCCATTTGAGAGATTAATGTAAAGAAGGTATTTCTATGAGACAAAACACAATTATGATTTTAGGAAAAAAAATATAAATGTACATTAGAAGGGTAAAATATGAAAAATTCTAATTGGCCCTGTTGGAGAAATTAATTTTTTTTTTCTTGATTTTGACAACCTCCTAACTGGCAAGTGCTAACTAAATGATTTTAGCAAATTAGATAGGTAAAATAGGAAAAATGTTTAAAATTTTAATTGGTCCTACCAAGCAAATTAGATTATTCTTTTGCTATTTTAGACAGTCTCCTAGCTGGCCAACTAAATAATGCAAATTTTAGCCCCATTTACAAATATATACAATATTAAGGAACTACAACTTCACTAATTCATTTATTTATTTTTTACAACTCTAAAGTTTTACCAATCTAAAGCAATTTTAAATTCTCATGAAGGTTTTTGTTTTAATATAAAAACTATTATGGCATCAACCTTAAAAATAGGTTGCTGTAATTCCAAAAGTTAATCAGGTAAATTTAAATACAGTTGGTTTTAACGTTTTTTTGTGGTAAGACACATTTAAATGCTACAAATGTTTTTCTATATTCTTTTACAAGGACAAATATATTTATAAATTGTAAGGTAAAAATGTTATACTTTTTTAAATCTATTGCTTTGTTTTCTTCTAATTAAATATACATATTGGGGTAATCACTCTTTATAAAGGCATCAGATAAATGTATTCATGCAGAATTATTTTTTCTTAATATACATACTTGGGGTAATCACTCTTTATAAAGGCATCAGATAAATGTATTCATGCAGAATTATTTTTTCTTAATATACATACTTGGGTAATCACTCTTTATAAAGGCATCAGATAAATGTATTCATGCAGAATTATTTTTCTAATTATACTATACTGGTATCACTCTTTATAAATCATATAATGTATTCATGCAGTAATTATTTTTACGTATATACTAGTACTAGGTA